TGAATAACAACGAAATGAATATTAAATCGGGTAAAGGCATATACGTGATTACAAAGTCATACCAACTGAAAACAGCAATCGTTGTCTAGGTGTTCGGCGGTATCGTCAAAATCATGATTTTGACAAACCATCGCATATAAGAAAAGTTGACAATGGCCTTTCGTTGTTTCACAGGGCAATCCCCGCGACTCGCTCGCGTTTAACCCAGCACAGCATGTCGACGATGAGGAGGAGGATGGGTGGATCATCAGCCGCCGCCAGCAGATGGAAGAACGCTACCGCCAATGGCAGCGAGAACAACAAAAGCTCAAGAACAAAAATCGGCGGGAGAGAAGGAACAGGGCACAAGCAGCGCCAGGCAAGCCCTTGCCAGAGTTTGCTGGACCCCGTGACAAGCTCTACACGTTGGGCGATGGCTTCCAGCCTCGTGTCGAGATGGTGCTCAGTCTCTTCATCCGACACTTCAACGCTATGGCCGAGAGACTCATTGAGCACGAGAGCATCTACACGGCACTGGCGTACATCGACCACAGTCTGAACCTGTGCACCTTGCTCAGCGAAGAGGGCGGCGCCACCGAAACTGCCGAAGAGCTCCGCGAGAAGGTGCTGGAGCTCCAGGCGGCGGCGATTGCCAAACTCCCTGCACCCAGCGAGAGTGTCCCACAAATCGACCCTGATCTCCTGCAGATGGCCTCTGGAAGTGGAAGAGCTTCCCAAGATCATAGCAACTGGACCGTCGGTCCAGAGAAGGGTCCCGCCGCGCGGCGCGACTTCAATCGGGAGGCAGCTACGGCCACCGCTGGCGACATAGCCGAGTGGCAGGCGCAGGGCGGCGTGCGGCCAGAGACCGAGGGAGGCGACCAGGCCGAGCGAACCGGCAGCGGAAGCCTCTTCGACGGACCGGCGCTGTTCGGAGAGATGCGCGTCAACCCCGCCTTCGTCGAAGACCAGCCGAAGGCGGACGAGGACGGCGCAGAGTCTGACGATGCTGAGGTATCTAGGAGCGGGCTACGGACATCTCGGGGAGAGGCTGATGGGAGCGAGGACCTGGACGAAAGTCGGCGAGGAGCGGCCGTCGGTAGGAGCAGGAGCGGGTCACGAGGCAGCAGCGGTCAGGCGATCGACGAAGGGGAAGAGGAAGACGAAGACGACGAGGAGGGGGGCGATGAGGATGAGAAAGGCGGAACTGAAAACGACGAATCGACAGATGAGGATGATGATGCCGAGGACAGCGAGGACACAAAAATGTAAGTGGACCAGGCTTGCCACTGTTTTCGGCAGTGAAAGTGATGCATCAGATCCATCTCTAGTGGTTTTGGCTGATTCCCCTGCCTTGCGTTCGGGCCGAAAGCGCGGACACTGAGCTACTGTCGCCGACCTTGCTCAAGTCAGCGTCGCGCTGATAAGCTGTAACAAACCGATCAAAAGAGCTTTCCGCGCCCATGACGGGCAATCGTTATCAGTCACACACGGACAGTAGCATGGCATGCCAAGGATAGTGTGGTCGCGTCGGTGAGATGAAATATCACCCACCTAGGGCCACGGCAGGCTTTCGCCCAGTGGGAAGGCGAAACCCAGTGATACTAACTCTTTATTGGCGGCTAGTGCGACGGTCTGCCGACTTACTGGCTAGTGAAGCGTTCCACGTATATGTTTGTGCGAGTGGGTGGGGGGGGGGGGGGGGTGACGAGGGGTGAGAAGGGGTGGCGATTAGAACCGGTAGAAGGGTGATAGCGCGAACTGTCAGAGCTAGTGACTAGGTGCACTCTCGTTGACCACTCCCCCGCATGACCGGGGCTGGTGAGCAGCGGTGAACCCGGTTGTTCTTGGTGGTCGTTCAGGACGATAGTCCAATACTCATCCCGCTTACAGAGCGCTGTGATACGGTATCTGGGCGAGGATTTGGCCCGGACCGACCATGTCGGCAAGGTTTTCGAGCACGTAGTGTGTGTGTGCACGGGCAGAGCGAATGGCACCGACGGTGCCCCGGGCCACATGCAGACCAGTGTTGCTCAAGGTGAAGCACTATCACAGGATTTGGGGCGGCTGGCCTGCTCCCCAATCACGCCCAAATAGAAGCGGTGCGATATGCTATCCGTATATTTATGTTACAATGTTATGCGTTCTACCAGTTGCGTAGGAACAAACATGCATTTGTATATAACGCAATTATTTAAAGTGATGTTTACAAAATAAATGAACAATGACAAACAGCGTTTTCCGTTAAGCTCCACATTGACTGAAATTCACAATAAAGAACGACAGACCGGTTGCTGTTCACAAACCGCATTGTCGACTGGCAATACCAGTAATTAGGTACTTTGACGACACTTGTAGGTACGAGTATATCTCTAAATTTTGAAAAGGGTCAGAAGCCTTCTGGGATTGGGGTGCAAGCCTGATAAAGACAAGTAGAGGCGATCTGCAGGCCGGGTGAATCATCGCATAAAGCTGCAAGTACCATAGCTTACCCCGAAAATCTACACCAAATCTACTCTGAAAATCAAATATTAACATCCCGAAACTAATCAAATATCGCTTCTCAGTGGAGGATAAGAGGTAATGTGTGATGTAATGGGGCGTTTATGAAAAAAAATTGGGAAGTAAGTACCACTCTTGAGCACTCGCCGCACCTTGCACTGACTCATGCGGTACTGAGCTAAAAATAGCTAAAAGCAACCAAACCCCACTGCCTTTCTCGAAGCATGTCTATCTGCGTCTGAAGCAGTAAGCTATCGAAAGGATGTGATTTGGTGGCCTCGATTCTTTATCATGCTCTCAGGCTGCAAAGTCCTATCGGTCATTGAAAGACAAATCGTAAAGCCACTGAACACTTGAGCTCGAAAGAAGTCGAGGAAGGTCAAACGAGATCAAGAGCAGGGAGAGCTGCAATACGGAAGTTACTTAATTATCTGAAGTGACAGCCAATTCTTAGAAAAGGTAGGACAAGCCCGGTTAAATAGAACCGCGCGATGTCTGCTTTGCAAACAAAAGAGGTTCGTAGGTGAACAAAGTGTGTAATCACCGCAACATCCTTTGTTCCACTGCTTGCACGGTATCTGTGTGCATTTTGATTTGGCCAGAACGCAGATGTGTAGCACCTACCAAGGCCGTTCAGTCTGCGTCAAGCGAAAAATAAACGTAGCAAACATGAGTGAACGTGATTGAAAGATTCCCAATGTACGATTACAGTTGTAAAGTAAAGGTATATTTGAGCAAGTGATAAATTTTTAATGTGTGTGCCTTTGACTTTAAGCACTTCTTATTGAAAAGCATTATCACAAGTGCTCGTCACGAAATTCAAACTTAACCCGCGCCCGGCTGGGGGTCCTGGATTTCCACGCCCTGCTGGGGGGGGGGGGGTGTGTTTGAACACCCCCCCCCTTGTAGCTCGGCTCCTGGGCCACGTAGCGATACGCGGAAGGCGGCGTTCGAAAGGGCGTCAAAAATAATGACGAAATCACTTCAGTCAATTTTTTGGTCAGGTCAAAGGTCAGGTCACCTCTGGTGACCTGGTCAAAGGTCAGGTCACCAGAGGTCATTGAAGGCAAAATATCGCCGATTTCCAGGTCAAATGTCGAAAATTTCCAAGAAGCCAACGCATAACTCGGGAACCAATAGAGCTACAGCGCCGCGGAAAAGTGCATTCGATAGCCCTATAAACGCCCTTTCTGAATAATTCTCTCAGATTTGACCTAACGTCAACGGTTTTGCCTGCAGGGGGCAAAAACTGCAAAAATAGCCGATTTTTTCGGAAACAGTTTTTCTGCAATAACTTTTGACCCAAGCCTTGTACGAGCTTACTTTCACCGGCATCGTGTTCCTCTCGTCAAGACGCATCGAATGAACTATAACTTGACCTTGAAAGGTCAACTTGAAAATTTGACCTCAGGTCAAGGTCATGACCTGACCGGAAAGGGTCATGTTGCATATCAGTCGATCCGTATCGTCGAGCTGAACACATATAAGGCGTTTTCATCGCTCTAGCATGCCTCTATCAAAAGTTATTTGCGAAAAACTGTTAGATACCATTCGTGACCTAAGATGACCTCAGGTCACAAACAAGGGTCACGGACACCATTTTCATGTTCAGTGTGTCTAAACCACTTGTAATTCGGTGTTTGGGAGTGTTTATAATGTCTTTCGTCCAAAAGAGGCGCATTTCAATTTTCTCCCATTGACTTATAATGGGGAGGTCGCAAAATTGACCTGACCTTAGGTCATCGATATCAAAATTCTGAGATATACATTTTATACATGCTATTGCTCTTAGCAATCGCTGAAAGTTTCAAAGCGATCGGTCACTCGGTGTAGCTATGACAGACATTGACACTTTTTATGAGGTGAGGTCACTTCAAGTGACCTGGTGACCTGACCTTGAATGACCTTGGTCTGAAATTTTCACAACATGTGTGGAATTGATGTATGATAAGGTATACCAAAAACGGCGGCGCGGAGGCCGTTTTTGAGATATTCGCGAAAAACCACAAGGGGGGGTGTTCAAACACCCCCCCCCCAGCAGGGCGCGGGTTAAGGAGCAGCAAAATTTCAGCGTAAAATGTAGGAGCAGTTCCGAAGAAAGTAAACGATTTTCACTACCCAGTGAAAAAGAAATAAGAAAAATGCCAGACAACTAGGCGGCAGGGAAGCAACATAAAGCGCTGTTTTCATTCAGCCTTACCATACCTAGGCCTCTAGAACGGTCAGTCCCAGTCGGTCGGCTCCTCAGTTCTCTCCCTTGCGTGTTGAACATTGGTCAGTATCCGGTCATCGGGCATTGCAGAACATTCGGATCACCTGTTGGGACCGACCGTCTTGCGGCTTGGGAATTTTACTTTTAGGATTTACTTTAGCTAGGAAGGCAATACGATCGTCGAATGTTTCCAAATGACCAGATTTTCATTCACATTGTATCGCTGTTAGTGTTAAGGCAATAACATTCTTCAACGCTGAAAGTTGTATACCAAAACTATAAAAATCAAGTAAAGAGTTGTACTTGCCGGGATGCCGTGTTCCGTGTAGAAATCTGCAGTGCCGATGCTGGCAAACAGTTTGTAGTTGAGCTGGTGCAGAATCTTAGCGCTCGACAGGAACTCGCTCTTGTGCTGTAAGAGATCACAAGAAACTGCTGAACACTATGCCGAGCACCGATCACAAATAACACCGGTGTTTCTGCTCATTTCTAATAACCTTTGTTATGGGACATAATTCAGCAGCTTTACGCAGTTCAAGGAAACGTTTGGAAGGGCGCAATAATTAACGGTTTTTGGTTAACCATATACAAATTATACCAGCCGTCAGCTATTAAGAGCATAACGACGATATCTAAGTTGAAGACAAACGAACTGCGATGGTCGGTCACGAGGCCGAAATCCACGAAAAACTAGCTGGCCAAAATGGAACTTAAAGTCGCGCGTACCAACCTTCCTTTTTTATAATCAATAATCATCATATTTATCTATTAATAAATATATTTACACATTTACTTTTACACTTATTCATTCATTCATTTTTCATTCATTCTGATTCATTCATTCATTCATTCATTCATTCGCTCGTTCATTTACTTATTCATTCATTCCGGCAGCCGCTTATTCATCACTACTGCATGTTTAGAGAAGCAAAAAAACAAACCAAACAAAACAAAACAAAACGTCAAGCTATAGGTACCTACTCCAAGCAGCTGCACCCTGTTAGTAGGCTGAAGGACACAGTTAACACAACGCCAAGGATAGATCGTTACAAACGTGCACAGTACGCACACAACAGCACGGCTATTCACACTTGATAACATTACCTATCCTTTGCACCTGAAGAGAAAAGATGAAAAACTAGCACAAAAGATAACAACAAACAAACAGGGAAGAGTGATCACCTATCAGCATGCAAACGGTTCTGTGTCAATCAGAGTATATAGGTGTCAATAGCATCTCGCGGACAACATACTGCACTATAAAAACACTCACAGGCCGTTTTCACGACGGAATAGCAGGCATCTATTTAATCCCCATTTGATCCTTTGGTTCCTCAGGAATTTTAGTAGTTCTTTTTAGTAGGTTCCCCAGCTTTCGAATGAATGGTGCGTTAGTTTGCTATTTTTCTATTAAATATCACATCGATTTACTTTATCTAAGGATTTATCACTATTATCAACATAAAGCGTAAGCACAATTATAAAATTATGAAATTATTAAATACTAGTACAATAGTTAAAAAAAGATACTGAGTTGCCAGGCTACAAAGAATATATTCATTTATGGCGCACGACAGACATTTAGAAAGCAGCGCCCTGCTTTATTGCACGCTGCTAGCCGCTTCCATTGGGTTTTGCAGGCCGTCGTCATTGGTCGTTACACGTATGATGTCACGCGACTTGTGGCCTGTCACGGCTCTTTAATGATCTCCACTAAATGAATGCAACAATGGCCTTTTAAGTTGATCTCTGTGGCCATCTGTCTATGGAGCGACCAATATGAAAGTTGGGTGAATTTACCGGGGTTACATGACTATGAGCAAGCAAATGTGTATCAGGAATGGATTTAGGTGGAGAATTGCGCTGGACCATGAGTGCTCGAACGCTCCCAATTCCACGCCGGTTTGGCTTTGGAGCCGAGACAGACGATGCGGGTCAAGGTCACCGCTGGGGTAACGGTGGATTGGGTGCGCCCGAGCACCCGTAACGCGGCACAATTCTCCATCTATGGATTTTCCTATTCGCTCAGCATTGTGATAGGCGTTCGTAATAGCATTTACTCTGCTCATGTACCTATCCCCGGTTATTTAAAAGAAGTTTTTGTGGGGGAATATCACGGCTTTAGGTACTCGGTGGCCCTATTCACGACTTTCAAAGAATGCTCCGATAACTAAACACCGCACAGACCTACTGCATTAGTGAATCTGACAGAATGTCTGTGGAATTACATCCCCCCTCACCACACCCCTAAAAACTCATCCAGTGTCCAAAACTACTTTTATCGCCTCGCCAAAAAAAAAAACACACACACACACATACACACACAAAGCATGGGGCATGTCAGCTCTCAGTTCATTTATTATTGTCTTTACCATGGTTCAATTGCATTGCGCGATTTAAAGCACGTGAGTGCCTATATAGTATATATGTAGAAAATAATATCTACAGCAAAACATCCAAAATTACAAAGGCTACAATGCTTAAAAAGTAGGTTCATCAAGGAAGCCCATTTTTACTTGCGTTGTGTTCCCAACCATGCGATTCCAACGCGGGCTGTTCGCAACGTCTGTTAAGGCACGTTAACAACTGACAAGCCGCCACCGCTGCCACTTATTCATAGATGGTTGATATCGCAGCTTGGGCGTCAGCAGCGCGGCCCACAACGCGTCGGCGCCAGCGCACGCAGCTGTTGGCACTCGGCAGCCGGTGTTGCGACTTAACGGCCGGCCGGCCCCATGAAGGAGAAGCTCTTGGTGAAGCTTTGTGATCGCCTCATAGCCGCCTTGGATGTCATCTTTCTTGGCAGATCCATCCGATCAGATGGTACGGTGCAGTCTGGATAAAGGACGAAGTCCAACGCCGCTAACCCCGCGACCGCCACCCCACAACGTGGCCGCAGACCGAACGGGCGTGAGGGCCGTAAGGGCCACCCCGCCATCCGGTAGGTGGCTGAGCAGCCGGGCGCAGCGGCGCCTGGGCGGCGGCCGCGCTGAGATGAAGTCCCAAACCGCCATGTCGCCATCACCGCCATCACCATTGCTGCAGCTGTTCCCAACCGCCTCAATCGCCGCCGTTTTGCCAGCAGTCGCGCCGCGGAATGGCAGAAGCTCCAGAGTAGCCTCCAGCGCCCCTCTCCGCACGTGTGCAGGTGCACTGCGGCCGCCGGGTCCAACGTCCAGGCAGAACATGATATTTCCATGCTGCTCCGACGGTGGGCTGGTCTTGTTTGGGCGTTCCTCCACTGTGACGTCGGTCACGCCTGCCCCGGCCAGGGCGCAGAGGCCGACGTGTCACCATCCGGTTGCAGTCCTCAGTCGGGTCGCAACGTGTACCTCTTCCGCAGCGTGGAGCGCGCTCCCGCTGGGCAGCGATACAGCCAAAAGTAGCATAGCATGCGGGCGGCCAGCGCTGCGCCGGACAGCGGACCCATGCCGGGGGTATGCCGGTCTCGGCCATTAGCGGGGTCGTCGGGGCCGAGGCTGTACATACAGCTGGTGACCGCGTGAGCCGCCAATCGAAGCTCACGGCTTATAAGCTCGACGCGGGCATCACACGCCGTCCCGATGGGAGCTCCACGACGCCGCCGCGAACTCCAGCGCGGCTCGCAGCGCGAAGACCAGTACGGACGGCCGGGGCAAACGGCGTGCGGGAGTCGCAGGCGACGTTCTGCGGACAGAAAGGGTTGGGCATAAGCTGGTCGGCAGGACACTCTTGAGCCGAGCCTTTGATGTAATTACAGATGATCCAGAAGCATGCACAAAAATTCATGACACACTATTCTCATTTATGTATTTGCTACATATGATATGATATACCAGCTCATGATCAGTGACGCATTCTGGGCAATATGTTCTAAAGTGAAGTAACTGAAGTTACAGCTTAAAAGCTTAAAAAAAAACAGCTTAAAAAAAACACACACACATTCGATAGCTTATGAGAATAACATGCCTTGTGTGCTTAATGCAGGAAAATATTTTTTCACTTTTTTAGAAACAGCAAAAGAGTTGTCAACAAGCCATGTCAACTATCTAAACAATTTTTATGGAAACTGCTCTAGCTAGCTTAAAGTTCCACAACGTTTCCGGAGCACCGTACCCAAACTCAGTTCATGTTACAAGAAAAAACAGTAATAATGCCTCCTAATTTTGAATGAAATATAGGTATGAGTAATTTGATTTGGAAAGCAACAAATTTCCGCACATCATTTTAGCAAAATTACTATTTTCTTCAGCCATCAGGTTACACAAAACTATAGTAAACTTTATGATCTAGTTTACAAAAACCAAAGCCCCGATTTTAACAAATGTAGATAAAATTTAAACAATTTAAAAAAAATGTATCGTGGAGAAAATGAAAAGTGTAGATTTGTAAAGCCGGGATATTTCAATTTCACGGATTAGGCACTTAAAGAAATATCTTCACCTTTCTTTGAGCCACCAGCCTTCACCCAAGTTTTACACGAATGTAGTGAAGCAGACAATGTGGCAACTCAAAATTGTGATGGTTTGAGATAATTATGACGGTAAAAGAAAAAGCAACACAAGGTTCCTTACCCTCGTTTTTTCACATGGGTTCAGAAGTGAGGCTTCAACTGTTGCCGACCTGAGGAGCTATAGGGACTCCGGACTTGAGCTTTCCAAAACTCAATTTCTAAGGGCACTGAGCAGTGTTTGGCTTTCACACGAATGCGATAGTAAGTTATATGAAGTTGACAAAGCAAGCAAAGCAAAGCATGATGCCCCGCGCGTCCGCCCGCGACCACGCCCCGCGTCCGACTCCCGACCGCCGCGTGACCCGAGGCGCCCGGCGGTCACGTGACCTACCGGCCGGGACTGCAAACGGCTTTCACCACCATTCTTGTATGACGTCATATCCTACTGAGGTGCTGATTGGTCGGAATTAGATACCTGAAGGTAATTATCTGCCGTAGTTATTTTTGTTTCATTGTTTTGCGTGTTTTCTTATATGAAATGTAATTAAAAAATTTGTCATATTTTAATCACCATTAAAACATAACTGAATAGGTATAAAAGAGAACTCGATATATACTTTCCTTGTTTTTAAGAATTCCGGAATTAGATACCCGAGGGAGCAAAGAGGGAGCAAGTTGCCACGCTGATTTAATACCTCATAGTCGAAAGATGGGCTACTAGAACCAAAAATTGCTGTGTTTGTAAATAAATAAGTGATTTGAGGGCAAAAAATGCCCAGATTTAAACTTCTAAAATTATTTTGAACATAAAATATTTCAGTTTGAGGGATGTTAAGGCCTCTAAGGGTAGGTACTTTTTAGGTATCAAATAAGTTCCTCTGCGAAAGTTCCGTCGTGAAAACGGCCACAGTGAATCAAATGACAGCATAATCAAACGACCATAACACAGTGTGCTGTTTCAGCCATAAACATGCACCTGCAGTTGATCACAAATACTGCCGCTATTGGTCAAAGGTAACGTGCCAAAAATCGGGACAGCTCAAGTTAATGTAAATTATGAAAGCATGCAGCCATACCGAATCGATGCGAGGCGTCAGCGAGGGGATGATTTTTACGGCATGTTTAATGTGAAACTATCAACATCCTGCCGATATGCACTTCATTTATCAGCGCGTGCGTTCCACGCAAATAGGCCATTCCACACAACAACTCTTGATCACTTAGCCGGATAGCACTGTCATTAAGTACTCTCTGGAAACTGAGCCTTCCTTTCTATATTCCTTTTTCCTTCCTTACATAACTGTCACCCCTTTTCCCCTCCACGTATCACCCTTCTTTATCATTCCTTTCCTATGCCCGGGTATTCGAAGGACCCACAACCGTACCTTGAAAGTGCCGATGCTGAGCAGGATGCCCTTCCTGGGCATGCGGAAGCCGGTGCTGAGCATGGCCTTGAGGTAGGCCTCGTGCCGGTTCTCGCCGAAGCAGGCTACCTCGCCAGTGGAGGCCATCTCCACACCGAGACGAACGTCAGCTCCTGGAGACACGCAGGGATTCGTTGAGGCCAGCACAGAGAGAATGGGAATATCGTGGAACGAAGTCGAGAATAGGGCAACTTATTCAACTTATCAAACATTTTGTTATGATGGAACACTAAGCGCAGTCGTTGTTCTCGTAAAGTAGAAACACATCTCGCAAAGGTTTTGCAATCCGAGTCAGTCGCTCAAAGAGATAAAAGGAATAAGGCTCGATTCTTGTAAGTCTGAATAACCGTCGATAAGACTCCCCCGTCACCTACCAGCCAGTCTGGAGAAGGAGAACTGGGCCACCTTGACTCCCACTCTGCCTCCGGCGCCGCTGAGGACATCCACCGGCTCGACGGGCGCGCCCACCATCACACGAGTCGCCATGGCGATAAAGTCGTGGTCCAGCGTCTTGGAGACGAACGGGAACGAACGAGACACGCGCACGTTGCACTCGATCACCTTCAGAAGGTTGTCCTAAGGGTAAAAAAGGTTACTGGTTAGCGAGAGAAGTTAAGCTCGTGGACAGCTGTGAGACTCGCTTTCAGCTGAGGCATCAGTGCAATAGCGTATTTCTTGCCGAAACTATGAGACGGCTGCTGACATCGTGCTATTCAATAGAAACCAAATACGAAAATGAAGAAAGCGTTTAAGCTCACTTGCTCCATTCACAGCAAGTAAAGCGTTAGGCAAACATAACTAATTAGAAATAGCGATCAAGGTTACTATCCTCCTTCATCAAGAATCACCAAGTAACGCCTTATCCACAGTACACCCGGCGGTCCAAGCCGCGTTCGCAAACATCAAACGCTCTAAGTCGCTCGGGCGTGTGTCATGTATACGTCACCACATGAACAAGCGCCGTGTTCGCGTGTGCAGCCGTTATCGCTCGCACATCGGCGCACTGCTAATCTACTTTTACGAGCTCGACCCTTATCAAGCAGTCAGGCGGCAGGAGCCTGGATTACCGAATCAGACGTTAAAAACAAGTCATCGCTGGCTTGTAAGCCAGCCTGAAAAGCATGTTTCGATACGGAACCAAGTAGCATGTGCAACGTGACATTTTGGCAAAATAGCAATACTGCAGGCAATGCTTCACTAAATGAATCTTTAACCCGGTTTCATTTCATTGCATTTAGTCCCACCTCACCAGCGGGCATTACCAAAGTGACAGGCGAAGTCGAAACAGCAGGCGAAGTTCCAGTCCAGATAAACAGAACCCGTCCTCACTAACTTGTTAACAGTTCACCAGTTAACCCCATGTTATCAGACTGACGTGAGGTCACGACCCAGCAGGAGTCAGGTCAAGGATCACGAGGTCAGTTACCTTTGCGATGAGTTGCATATTGAACGGACCAGTGACCTCCAGCTCGCGTGCGATCGACGAGAATATCTCCCGGATGGAGGACAGAGTGGCGGCGTTCAGATCCTGGCGAGAGAAAACGATCTGTAGTTATAGTGATTATTGGGGATATTGATTAATACTGACACACAACTAGATGTGAGATTCGGGGCGCCAGTCTATTCTAATCGCGATGTCAAACGGTCTTTAAATGTGTTTTTGGTGGCATACGCAATTATTAGCACACATAAATCGACATTCATACCCTGCTTTGGGCTGTCAAACCTACGATCGCATAACGCAAACATCGCTAATGCACGAACCAAAAGGTGAGAGCATGAGAAGTCTTTAATTTCCTGCGAACAGCACATCTTGAAACGAAGTCAGTCAGACAAGACCAACCGAGTCTTCATTCGCCACATCCGCCATGTGAGCCCTACAGAGCTATGCCTCGCTGTTCGCCTGCGTTCAGATAGGCTCAGGGCACAGCGACAGACCCATAAATTCCCGGTTAATCCGCCCTTCTCGGTGATCAAAGATACGAACGGTGGAGACAGTTTGTGACGTCAGCGCGGCCTTGGTGACGCCCGTAGGGTGGCATGGTGTCAGCGAGGTGTCATAGAGGTGTCATAGAGGTGTCAGCGAGGTGTTATAGAGGTGCAAATCAGGCGCCGACAATGTGCCACCAAGTGACAGCGAGGGTGGGCATTAGGTAAACGTGGATAAGTGGGGAATTTGTGGGTGGGACCTTCGTTCTCAGAACAAGGCAGGTGAATGGGGTTATTCGCAAAATGACATTTCCCATCATCGTTTCGGACGCTTGTTGCAAAGCGCAGACGCAATTAAAGCTAAGGGTTTATTATACACCAGATGGAAAAATATAAGCAAAGTCAGCGTTAAAAGCGTTACTTGCGACATGGCGACCAAGTGTGATATAGTAACAGAAGCCGCTTACCCGAAGCGGGTTTATCAGTGTATCAGGCATAATCACCGCTTAGTGGCATAAAGACACAAGCCGCGGAGCTGTGGCAGAGTGCCCAAAGTGGTAGAGTTGGGCCAGCCGGTTACCTGCGACAGTCTAGAGCACGGGAAAACCTGCTAGTTACCTGCGGCGAGGTGACCAGGGAGATAAAGTGTCACCAGCCGCTTACCTGAGGCGGGCTAATCAGTGTGTAACTGTCAGTTACCTGCGGCAGTCTAGAGCATTGTAAACCTGCTAGTTACCTGCGGCGAGGTGACCAGGGAGATAAAGTGTCACCAGCCGCTTACCTGAGGCGGGCTAATCAGTGTGTAACTGTCAGTTACCTGCGGCAGTCTAGAGCATTGTAAACCTGCTAGTTACCTGCGGCGAGGTGACCAGGGAGATAAAGTGTCACCAGCCGCTTACCTGAGGCGGGCTAATCAGTGTGTAACTGTCAGTTACCTGCGACAGTCTAGAGCACGGGAAAACCTGCTAGTTACCTGCGGCGAGGTGACCAGGGAGATAAAGTGTCACCAGCCGCTTACCTGAGGCGGGCTAATCAGTGTGTAACTGTCAGTTACCTGCGGCAGTCTAGAGCATTGTAAACCTGCTAGTTACCTGCGGCGGGGTGACCAGGGAGATAAAGTGTCACCAGCCGCTTACCTGAGGCGGGCTAATCAGTGTGTAACTGTCAGTTACCTGCGGCAGTCTAGAGCATTGTAAACCTGCTAGTTACCTGCGGCGAGGTGACCAGGGAGATAAAGTGTCACCAGCCGCTTACCTGAGGCGGGCTAATCAGTGTGTAACTGTCAGTTACCTGCGGCAGTCTAGAGCATTGTAAACCTGCTAGTTACCTGCGGCGAGGTGACCAGGGAGATAAAGTGTCACCAGCCGCTTACCTGAGGCGGGCTAATCAGTGTGTAACTGTCAGTTACCTGCGGCAGTCTAGAGCATTGTAAACCTGCTAGTTACCTGCGGCGAGGTGACCAGGGAGATAAAGTGTCACCAGCCGCTTACCTGAGGCGGGCTAATCAGTGTGTAACTGTCAGTTACCTGCGGCAGTCTAGAGCATTGTAAACCTGCTAGTTACCTGCGGCGAGGTGACCAGGGAGATAAAGTGTCACCAGCCGCTTACCTGAGGCGGGCTAATCAGTGTGTAACTGTCAGTTACCTGCGGCAGTCTAGAGCATTGTAAACCTGCTAGTTACCTGCGGCGAGGTGACCAGGGAGATAAAGTGTCACCAGCCGCTTACCTGAGGCGGGCTAATCAGTGTGTAACTGTCAGTTACCTGCGGCAGTCTAGAGCATTGTAAACCTGCTAGTTACCTGCGGCGAGGTGACCAGGGAGATAAAGTGTCACCAGCCGCTTACCTGAGGCGGGCTAATCAGTGTGTAACTGTCAGTTACCTGCGGCAGTCTAGAGCATTGTAAACCTGCTAGTTACCTGCGGTGGGGTGACCAGGGTGGCGTCTCCGGAGTGAACGCCAGCGTTCTCGACGTGCTCGCTGACAGCCAGACAGAGAAGCTCGCCGTCCCGCGCCACGCCGTCCACGTCAATCTCCTGAGGTCACAGGTCACAGGTCACAGGTCATAGGTCACGTCCCGCGCCACGCCGTCCACGTCAATCTCCTGAGGTCACAGGTCACAGGTCACAGGTCACAGGTCACAGGTCACGTCCTGCGCCACGCCGTCCACGTCAATCTCCTGAGGTCACAGGTCACAGGTCACAGGTCACGTCCCGCGCCACACCGTCCACGTCAATCTCCTGAGGTCACAGGTCACAGGTCACAGGTCACGTCCCGCGCCACGCCGTCCACGTCAATCTCCTGAGGTCACAGGTCACAGGTCACAGGTCACGTCCTGCGCCACGCCGTCCACGTCAATCTCCTGAGGTCACAGGTCACAGGTCACAGGTCACGTCCCGCGCCACGCCGTCCACGTCAATCTCCTGAGGTCACAGGTCACAGGTCACAGGTCACAGGTCACGTCCCGCGCCACACCGTCCACGTCAATCTCCTGAGGTCACAGGTCACAGGTCACAGGTCACGTCCCGCGCCACGCCGTCCACGTCAATCTCCTGAGGTCACAGGTCACAGGTCACAGGTCACAGGTCACGTCCCGCGTCACACCGTCCACGTCAATCTCCTGAGGTCACAGGTCACAGGTACGTCAGTAACATCATACGAGCGCGTCAGTTACACCATACTGGAGCGAAAATCCACTGAGGTTACGGACAAACATGTCAGTGACATCATAGGAACGTGTCAATATACTGGCTGTGATGAGCAAATTGACAGCTTCAAAGTCCCACGACTTTAAAACCAATTACAGTTAATGATGATGTGATCGACACTTCACAGCTTGTTAAACCATAGCTATGACGCAAATGTTGTCACAAAAACGCGTTATCATAGACCTGACGACAACGGGCATCAAATTTATGATACACACGTCCGCGTGCATATCAAACGTATGATGAAATAGATAACATTGAAGTATTGCTCCACTTGAACAGCAGCGAAACATGACCATCAAAATGCCACGACTATGACAACTTAAAAGGCAGAAAAGATGTAACCAGCCGTTCTATCCCAGCTAACGCCAGCTTAACAGCGATCTACTGAATTGCCTAATCATTAACACAAAGACACATTTTCTGAGCAGTAACTCTTCAGTATTCATCCTTTCTCACAGCCTCATCTCCACAGTCCACATCTACCCAAAGCCCCCACCTTGGCTTCGAGGATGAACTTTGAGATGACGACTGGGTGCTCCTTGCTGACAGTAGCTGCCTCGCGCAGGTACACCTCCAGATCGGTGTGTGAGTGAGCCACGTTCATGGCCGCTCCGCTCAGCACGTACGAGGGCCGCACCAGGCACGGGTAGCCCACCTCCTCACAGAACCGGCGAGCCGAGTCAATGTCCGTCAGCTCCTTCCATCTGGGGACACGGAAAGGTCACTGACCAAAGATGGAAAGGAAATTAACGAGAAAAGTGAATACGTGTTAGAAACGGACAATAGTGCTAAGCGTCATACAAGTTTGCAATACACATTTACTCATGAGCTCATATATCTCATGTATGAGGTCATGTCTCTCATGTATGTACGCATGTCTCTCATGTAGAACTCATGCATCTACATTCTACAATATATTTCAATTTCTAGCCAGAGCTATTACCACCTATCTCAATGATCCCCCTCCCACTATAAGGCATTTAGCCTACCCCTTCTCTATCATCCAATATCTGCCATCTCCCGCATACCTCGGCTGCTGTATGCCGATGCGGTCCAGCATGCGGGAGAACTTGAAGCGGTTCTCGGCGCCGTCCACCGACTCCGGTGAGCTGCCCAGCACTCGGGCGTTCTGTCGGTGAAGCTGCATCGCCATGTTGTTGGGCAGCTGGCCGCCCATGCTGATAATGATGCCCTCGGGACTCTCCAGGCGGTAAATGTCCATAACGACCTGATGGTAGGAGGGAAACGGCGGTTGTGTGACACGGTCGAAAGGACGGTCGTATCTTGAGGCTTATTTTTGACACGTGCTAATTTATTTTAAACGTATCATTTTGTGAAACTTATTTAAGAAAGTATGTACAGACAATCATTGGTAAGAGCTTAAGACATCAGCTCCATCGAAACGAGGCTAAACAAAAGAAGCAAGGCAAGGGCAACCTTAATGCCAATCGTTGTTGAGGTAAAAAAATGCCAATCTACTGGATTACCTGCTAGTCAAAACTACAATACACGTTTCAATGCATGTTTTCAGGCTTGTGCTTAAGTATATGTAATAAGCACAAACCTGAAAGAATCATTGCTATGTTCGTTCAACCAACACTCACCATACGCCAAACTAACATCCCCGGGCCCCAATTTTCCAGTCCGTTCCACTCACCTCCGCCGACAGTTCGTCAAAGTAGAGTCGGTCGCACATGTCGTAGTCGGTGCTGACCGTCTCTGGGTTGCAGTTGACCATGACGGTCGACCTGCCGAGCTTCCTCAGCTCGCGGAGACAGCCGACGGCGCACCAGTCAAACTCGACGCTGCTGCCGATCCGGTACACACCCGAGCCTGGAGAGGGAGGAGACGGTGGTGAAGGCGGTGGGGTGGATGATGCTAGTCGCGGACAGTGAGAAAATGTCATAGCCAACTATCGCAGAGCTTGTGTCGATTCTCGTAGGAATGGGATGGACATATTTGTATGGCTTGATAAGCAGAAACATATTTCATCACCTTTCTTCAATTAACGGCACAACCAACTAAATTCTAAAACAATAATTTATGTCATTGGTTCGCAATCTTTCCCCACCAATCTTTTTTCGCAATCTTTTCTTATTCGAATCGACAGACAAACGGCTATATCTGCAGTATATTGTAAGGCAGCCCGACTAATAATTTTGGTCATGCCCAGAGTTCCATAACCCGTCCGTAGTCCGTAGTCCGTACCGAGGACGACGGTGGCGCCGCCTGGGAAGTCGACGTCGTGCGAGCCGCCGTTGTAGGTCAGGTAGAGGTAGTTGGTGGTAGCCGGCCACTCGGCTGCCACTGTGTCCACCTGCTTCACGTGCGGGTGCATGCCTGAGGAAAAACACGGGTAAAGACATGGCGAAGTTTTTGAGCAAAAAATGACCGCAAACTAACGGTGGGTAAAAGACTAAATGAGCTGATCTGTTGGTGAAGAAGTAGAACCTTACAAGTGTCCATAATTAAGATCAGCCTGACCTGCTGACAGCGTTACTCACACCGACACCGATGGCTATTTCTTTAACCTTTAATCTAGCAAATTGGTGGCTAGTTCGGCGTTCAGTAATATTATCATAGAATGATGTGTCCCTACCTTATAACACACTCCGTCCCTACCGTTTCCCTACTTTCACGATATAATCAATTCCACACTACACTACTGAGTCTCACCGAGTTTCCTCCTCATCTTGGAGACGACCTGTTCGGTGATGCCCACGTAGTGCGCCACCTGGGCGTCGGAGAAGCCGAGCTGTTTGGCCAGCAGCAGGTTCTCCGCACTGAGCCTCTCGTGGGCAGACAGCCGAGCCGTGTGCTCTGGGGGGGGGGGGGGGGGCGGGGGGTAGGCACAGCGGTAAGGAGCGAGCGCGATGCAGCCATATGGTCACTTGTGACTTGGGTAGTCAAGGTACCTACTGGTGTGCTTCTAGACCCGATCGACTACGGCCGATCGACCAAAGGTTGACTCTGATGGTAACGTTATTCCACCGTTGAGGATTGAAGCAGCATTGGAATAGCAGTGTCGATGAGAATCGATAGGCCCACCGGGTTTGCCTACAGCAATGCACACTGCAGAGCACGGTGAAAAACCTATGAGGCTATTTTGGTAAACCTGACATAAACTTAGCAAGGGACTCAACCGACTAAAAGCAATATAAAGTAACTGAAAATACAAATCAAATATTTATGGACCTACCGATAATGTTTTTCATCTTGTGAAGGAACCACTTGTCGATACGGGTCAGTTCGTAGAGGCGGTCTATGGTGTAACCGACCTTCAGAGCAGCAGCCAGGACAAACATTCGCTTGTCGGTGGGCTGCGCCAGCTCCTAGAAAACGACATACGTGAGTTCGTCAAACGTATGGGGAAACATCCGCCAAAAATGGCACCCAATCTAGATAGTCGCTACATCCCAACTTTTCATTTGAGACATAATCAATCGCATTGTAGATATGTGGGTACAAGTCCTGGTCAGCTGGAATGATTATTGTTTTTTTTTCTTATTAATAACAAAACAATGAAGACGGTACCTCGTCAGAGGGCGGCTGGACGTCCGGATCGAAGCCGCTCACGGCGTTGTCCACCATCCTGAACGCCTTCTGGAAGGCCTCCTCAAAACCGCGGCCGAGGGCCATCACCTCGCCAACCGACTTCATTGAGCTGCCGATCTGTGATCAAAGGTCACGGTCAAGGTCATTGACAGGGTTAGCGGTAGAGAGGACCTTTGCGGATCTGTTTAAAAAAGGTTATAATTTGAGCCCATAATGAGCTGAAACAGAAACAAGTTTTGAATATGGTCGACAATCTAGAGATATGATAGCATAAACATGGAGCATTCGTGGCAATCCTACTGTACTATCTCGCTCGATGTGATCATTACCTTAGTGCTGACTCGGGTAAACTTGCCGAGATCCCAGCGTGGCATCTTGACCACGCAGTAGTCCAGGCTGGGCTCAAAGCAGGCCGTCGTCTTGCCTGAAAAAGACACGAAAGATCAAGAAATAAATCGACAACGGGAGTCGGCCAGTTGTGGTTGCTTAATTATACGTAAAAGCGAAAAAATTGTTGTATCTCTTTCAGGAAACATTACCGGTCAAAGCCACTTCGTCGTCTTTACATCCCGTTCATTTAGCATAGCACTCCATCATTCCTTACTTACTCCTGGCTCTTTCTGGATAAATCGCGAATTCGAACATACCGACAGCAGCGTCATTTGTTCCACCACGCATTATAAAACCAATTTAGCTACAACTGACCAGTGACAGAGTTGTACAGATCGGGCAGCGGTTTGCTGAGCGCCAGCTTGGCGGCGACGTAAGCCAGCGGGTAGCCGGTAGCCTTGGAGGCCAGAGCAGAGGACCGAGAGAGCCGCGCGTTCACCTGAAAACGGCGCACGGTGTCAGAACATCACAACTTTTGCAGATTTCCCAACCATTCCGATAGTTAAATAGACCTGCAAATTGGCAAATCCACATCTCCCTTATCAGTTATAGCTAGCAAAACATTTGTCAGCTGTGCTACCGTTTGCGATATAGAAAAATCGTTGCACATTTACACCCGTAAGAACAACGCAACAAAATGAACAAAAATAGAGTGCAGCAAAATAGAGTGCAAAAGTCACAGCAATGTGTTCGCATTAAATGCTAACGGCATTCTTTCCTTTGGCTTTATCTGGATTATTCTCACCTCAATGATGTAGTACTGTTCCGAGTCCGGACTGAGTGCGTACTGGATGTTACACTCGCCCACCACTCCCAGGTGGCGGATCACTTTCAGAGCCGTGGTGCGCAGCTTGTTGTACTCGCGGTCGGACAGCGTTTGGCTGGGAGCCACCACTATGGATTCGCCCGTGTGGATGCCCAGGGGGTCCACGTTCTCCATGTTGCAGACCTAGGGGGAGAGGGAGAGAGAGAGAGAGAGAGAGAGAGAGAGAGAGAGAGAGAGAGAGAGAGAGAGAGAGGAGAGAGAGGAGAGTGGAGAGTGGAGAGAGGAGAGAGAGAGAGAGAGAGAGAGAGAGAGAGAGAGAGAGAGAGAGAGAGAGAGAGAGAGAGAGAGAGAGACGACCGTGTTAAAGCGTAAACCGTGCGGCTCATGTGCGCAGGTAACTGACGCATAAGCTGCAACGTGAGCTTAGTTACGCAAGACAAACGAAGGCGGTAGTCTTTTTGATAGGAAATGGCTTACAGACAGATCGAAGAGAATTTTGCATATTTTTCCTCCTTCAGCCAATGTATGTTCGCAGTAATCAATGATTCTTTAAATCAGTAGCAACTTAACCCTCGCCCTGGCAGGGCATTTTTCATAACACGGCCTGGCAGGGGGGGGGGTCGATGCGACCCCCCCCCCCTCGCGATTGGCTCCTATGGCACCTAGAAACACCAAATTTGGTAGGTAGGTGGGCCCCCTGGAGTTCTCGCCCCTGTGCAAATTTGGTTGCTCTAGGTCAATATTTAGGGGGGTTTTGGGGGGTATAAATGTAAAAATTTCGCTAAAAACAGGTCAAAAGTTTTTCGCTTATAACTTTTGATCTAATTAAGATAGAGCAAAAAGAAAAGCACCAGTGAACTCAGCACGTCAAGGCGCGTCGAATGATATACTTTTTAGCTTGCTTAAGTGTACTTAAAGTTTTTCTTAAATTTTAAGTAAACTTAAATTAATAAATTAAGTTAAAGTTGACCAAATTGCATCATATTGCATATCATTCGATTCGGCTGATCACCACGAACACAATGATACCATTTTTGAAGCTCTAGCGTCATTATGTGCCAAGTTATTGGCAAAAACGTCATTTGACCTCAGTTGACCTCATTTGACCTGACCCATGGATAAGTACACCAAACAAAGAAGCACCAAGTGACCTGCTGTTAAGTACTGTGGTTTCAAAGCACAAAAGTGATAAAACGAAGCGGATATCTCCAGTATTTTCCGAATTTAGTATTTTCCCATAGGCTTAACATTACGACGTAATGACCTCTAACTGACCTCAGGTCAGTGACCTCAAAAAACCCGAACTATTTGTTATACAACTTGGTGAACTTAGCACATCCTGAAAGTTTGAAGGAAATCAGTGCAAAACTGTGAGTTGGACAGGTGCAAAAAGAAAATTGAAATTTGACCATGACCTTGTACCGGTTTTTCTGACCTGGTGACCTGACCCAAGGTCACCCGGACCTGAAATTTTCAGGTCATATGTAAAAAGGTTGCCCCATAGGCTGTGCCAAATTTGGCGGCGCTGCGCGCCGCCGTTTTTACGCTATCTTCGAAAAACCTTAGGGGGGGTCGCATCGACCCCCCCCCCTGCCAGGGCGAGGGTTAAGCAGCGACTTTCTCCAGACCTGAGCACGTAGGTTTATTAACTCACGCAGGTCAGTGTGGTCATGTCAGTACTTACGGTAACACAGTTGTCGTAGGCATCTCTGACCACCTCATATTCCACCTCCTTCCAGCCCTTCAGCGACTTGTCTGAAAAAATAAATCGCCATTATTTCCACATAAATAAAAGACGGCGCCAGTCATTGTCCAATAATCCATTGTCACACAGTCTATCTAGCGACCAAACTGTTGGGATTCGGTTGACGTCTGGAATGGATTAATAATGTTCAACAAACACCATATTGTCTCTTTGTTTGTTTTGTTGGGTTAGGCCCTTTCGGTCTGACGAGACCATTTCAGGGCCGGAATGATGATAGGAATTAGGGGGAGACATTGGTCTGGGCGAGCACCCTGGTGAGTCGCCGGGACAGGCCGACCAGTCCCCCCCCCCCCCCCCCCCAGCACTCACCGCACCCGGCTACGGGCTTGCTCTTACGGGCATTTCCGCATGGGATAAAGTTGCCCGTCCAGCCCGGAACAGGGAGTTGAGACGTGGAGGATAAGGATTTGTTCTGAGGATGAAAATGACGGAACGGTGACCTTATGATGCCTTGTACTGACCTATGATGACTTGCGATACTGGCCTATGATAGTCCGTCGTGACCTTTACTCACCTATGATGACCTGCGGTGATCTTGCCAGCGCCGTGGTTACCAGGGCTCGCAGTCCCTCCGGGTTGCTGGCGAACCCTGAGCCGAGCCCTCCGAGGGCGAAGGCGGCCCGCGCCATCACGGGGTAGCCGAGAACAGCGGCGGCATCCAGCGCCTGGTGGCGGAGGCCGGAACTATTAGTAATGGTACGCGGCACCAGGTCACGACCAGCAGCCCAAAGGATGAATTGTGAGATGTTGCTTTGTCGTACTCGATGTAAATGATCACCTAAATTGAAAAAAAAAACTTTGAATGGCATGATAACATATTCCTTTGAACCATTGTTCCATTGCATTTTACATTTTACCATCTCCAGACGCATAATTAGCAAGTTACCGAATGGTGAAGGCATCAAACTCTTGCATGAGGGCTCCACCTGGCTACCAGCCGCGACCAGCTATCATTTGCCAGTGCCTATACCTCCATTTACTCTACTCTCATACCTCCCTCATCGGTACACCCTTGTCTCATTCACCACCGACCTCTCACCTGCTGAACGGTCTCGGCGCAGGCAGAGGGCGCCACCCTCTCTCCTATCTGTTCCACTTTGGCTGCGAACGCCTTTCTGTCCTCCGTCTCCATAATGGAGCGGATCGGCGTCCCTGGAAAACACACAGATGATGACTAGGAATCGGAAATAGTGACAGTGACGCATGACACAAATAGCGACTTAAGTTCAGCTTCTTCGTACTCGTTCTCGATAGAGGAAGCTGGAAAGGTCGAAGCGGATATTCACATCAACCGATGACAAATCAGAGTAGCTTACAATGTTTCCAGACATAACCGAGCTCCAAATACATCCTTTACCTGGCATACCTACATTTCTTCAGCTCGGCGACCTGTGCAATGCGCATACAACTAACTGATCGATTCCAACAGGTCCACTACCAGCCCAGGGTTCGGGAAGGGTCTTACCGAGCACTCTGACGCCGTACTTGGTGAGCACTCCGGCCCGATCGAGTGCCACGCCACAGTTCAGGGCTGTCTGTCCGCCGAACGTCAGGAGAATGCCGTCCGGATGTTCGGCGCGGATTACCTGTGGTGAGAAATAGGAAATGTTTAGTTTAACGATGGAGGTGAATGATCACCAACAGCAGCCGAAGGTCATCAATGGCTTATACAAATTCGTCTGCTGGTCATTTGTTTACTTTGGCCACCGAATATGCCGTCAAAGAAAAAAAGCTCATGCTTGAAGCCGATTTTCTAGTTCTAACTTTGCTCACGAGTGCGTTTTATTCACACCCCGCCACACAGCGAAGTCCGTTCGATCTGTCCCCAGCTGAGCATATCAACACCTTAAACCGATTTATGCAACCATAGACCTCTGTATGCCTGTATACCTGTATATCTGTCGGGTAGGTATACAGAGGTCTATGATACAACTCATCAATATATCCATCAGTCGCTACTTGACGCGTGAGGCATGAATTTAGTGGTCACTAGGATCCCCTGCCCCATCCTCCGACCCTCTGCTCGACCCTCCGATTCGCTCACCTGTTCCACATACTCGGGCGTGATCGGCAGCAGGTAGACCTTATCGGCCATGCCGCGGGACGTCTGCACGGTGGCGATGTTGGGGTTGATAAGTACCACCTGTACCTCCTCTTCTTTGAGCGCCTTGATGGCCTGGCTCCCGGAGTAATCAAACTCACCGGCCTGGCCGATCGAGAGGCCGCCCGAGCCCAGCAGCAGCACCTGGGGTGGAGGGGGGGGGGGGGGGGGGTTGAGGTACGAGAAGACGACATCGGTTCTGGCAGTATATTTGATTTGACATGGCTTGTACCATTTGGGATGGTTGGAGACGTCAATATATGGGTACCTAAACATTCTTTTAACACGCACAGTGGAAGGGTTGCGATTACTACGCCCAGTGGAAGGGGGGGGGGGCGGATGTCGCCCCCCCCTAAGATCTCAGCTCCCACTAGAGCTAGAAAGACGAAATTTGGAGGGTATGTGAAGGCCCTGGGGAACTCTGCTGTGTGTGAATTTCATGACCCTAGGTCAATATCTTCAAGGTCAAATGAGGTCAAATGTGGTCAAATCTGCCATATGAGCGACTTTTTTGCGTTTACACGCCGATAACTCAAAAAGTTACCGCCCGATTTTCTTTTTTCTTTCACTGTGCGAAAGGATATATATTTGTGAGTATGTATGGTGAATTTCTAGTCAATACAACAATAAATATGGCAGCTAGAAGCCTGCTAAGGGTAAGATGTCGCCGGCTGAAGCGGGATCGACCGACGCGGGAAACGCGGCAATCACAATTTTGTGTTTACACACTCATAACTCGAGTTGTTACCGGCCAATTTTCGAAATTCTTTGACCGTGAGATTGCCTGTACATTTCTTAGTCTTCTCACAAAATTTGACGCGAATCGAATATAATCAGCGGTAAGGAGCTCAGCGCGATGTAAAGACGAAACCGTCCCGCCCCGGCACAGTCTACAATTCAGGCGGCGCGCAACGGCTAGCTCCGGCCGCCGCGCCGCCGCGCCACCGCGGCGGCAGGATGTTTGACTTTACTCCGCTATTACAAGAAAAGTTGTGACCTGATTTTCTTATTTCTTACACAAGAAGATCCGCAGTTCAATTTTGTACAGGTAGCCAAAATTTCACATTAATATCATGTTTGCGGCGCGAGTTATTGGCGAAAAATAGGAGGGTGGGTGGAATCCGCCCTCCCCCTTCTACTGCTACTCGCAAAACATTACTGATACTTTTCCGTTAAGACTTTCGGCGATAGCATGTTGATCAATATTATGTTTGCAGTTTGCTTATCATGGTCAATTATGCTAGTTAAAAATGCTTACTCCTACCCAGGCGATGACGTACTCAAGATGAGATGAGAACGCCACGACAGACATCACTACACATTACACAAACGCAAGCCCTTTTCAATTATAATCCCCCTCACTCTCTCGCTCCCCACCTTCCTGGGACGCAGTTCGGTGACGGGCGTCTCTGGTGTAAAGGTCAGAGCACTGGAGATGAGGTCGGGCAGGTCGGCACGTTTCCCGGCCGCCGAGCGACGGACCGCCTCCAGAAACACGTCAAAGAGGCCCTCCAGGTCCTCCGGCCCGGCACTGTGCTCCGGGTGGAACTGGACGCTGCCGGTGGCGCACAGACGTGAGCAGGAATGAACGGGGGAGAACAATGGCGAAAAAACGAACATGGGAAAACAAGGTGGAATATATGAACAGCTTCATATATAAAAAGCATGGGAAAACAAGGTGGAATAAATGAAAAAAACTTCATATATAAAAAGCATGGGAAAAGAATCATAGAGTAGTGCTTACGAAGAACGCGTGAGATAAAAAAAAAACATCAGCAGAAGCGCCGATATCATGTGAGCACTGAACAGCCAGTACGGAGAGCAGGGTATTTAAAGACCACAATCAGCTGACAGGAACATTCTTACGAGCCTCTGGCACAAACAATTGTCAAACAAAGTAGACTGCTCCAGAAAAGATACACGATACATTCGAGGCATGTTTAATGTAGTTAAAAGGGACGCATAAATCCGTTGCACAGACCGTGGGAAAACTGACTAATGATGCCTTTAGCATACAGAAAATTGAACATGCAGCTTAATTACGAACATTGTTAGTCCAATCAGACAAAAATGAGTTTTCAAGCCTCTAATTGAATAGTTAAGAAGCCATTTTATCGGGAAAGCCATTACTATAATAACACTAATTTCAAATCGAGACGGGATCATAATCGGAACTTGACGCACTTCCTGAAGTATAAGTCAAAAAACGACAAAGTAAGTAATATTCCCTGCATTGTTTGAAATAAACGCGCGAGCGCTAATGTGCTACCTCACGCTATTGGCACAGAAGGAAATACTCATTAAATGGCAATGGCGCAGCAAAGCTATTCTGCACATGTCTTCACCGGAAACTTGAGTTGTTCATGTTTAAAAGCTGCAAAAAAAGAATACTGAACAAACTTTTAGAAATAACATCAAACAAAACGAGCATAATTTTTAGAGAAGGAATAATAAGTGTAAAAATCAAACATCATTTTGTACCGTTTAAGATTGCAGAAAACTATATACATATAGCAGTGCTACCTGATGTTATAGTGCGTTGTCACCCTTCCACATGGAAAGTGGTGCAGGTATCGAGTGACTTAATTAAGCTGAACTGGGCCACCGTTATACGGACGTTCTAATCTTTCACCATCAGTGACAGCGTACCCACATGCCTCGAGCCCACATCATGGGAGTGACATTGGAGCAGACTGCCTGCATATGCATTTTAGACCGAGTGAAAGTGTTGAGCGATTTGAATCGGGATCGCATAGGAAATAAGTATCGTGCTATCCCATGGAGACAGTGGATTCTGCTGCAATGTTAAAAATGGGAATTCTGAAGAGCGGTGTAAGCATTTACAGTCAACGTAAAAAGCAAAGGCGGTTATGAATAATTCAATTATTTGTGATCTTAGATAAGCGTTCACGGAAAGTTCTATGAACGACCGAAATCGAAAGCATTCCTCTCCTCCCATTCATCCACCGCTGTTTTCCTCATTACACAGACGTGCTATCACTGGCTCGCCGTCAACACGCCTGCGTCCCCCCCCCCCCCCCGCTGCCCCCTCCCCCACCCATACCGCACGGTGACGCACACTTCAAACAACAAGCCCCGTCTGAAAGTCGGCCGACGTTTCCGCCTCGGTGACCACGCAAGCAAACAAACAGCCAACCTACCTGAAGAACGGCTGCGACTTGTGCAGCAGTCCCTCGTTGGTTTTGTCGTTTGTGTTGGTGAAGAGGGGTTCCCAGTCGGCCGGTACCGAGCTGGCGTCCACAGCGTAACCATGGTTCTGCGAGGTGATGAAGCAGCGACCCGTGCCGTGGTGCGTGCACGGCTGGTTGTGACCGCGGTTGCCGTAGCTGAAAAAAAGAAAGAGTTAAAAAGAAAGAGGAATACAATATTCTAAATGGAAAATATTGACTTTATTCTACGTCTTTTACGTGACGGGAGTCTATGCACTGCTTTGAACGTTAACCCGCGCCCCGCTGGGGGGGGGGGGGCAGAATCTGCCCCCCCTCCCGTTTTTCGCCAATAACTTCTAAACGCGTTACGCCAGCGACGTCAAACTTTCAGTACCTTATTATACATCAATTTGACACGTTCCCTGAAAATTTGAGCGAAATCCGTCGGAAAATTTTTGAGAAATTGACGTTTTAGTGACGTCATGTTCGCCATTTTCGCCAAAAAAACGGCAAAATTTCAAACGCCGCTAACTTCTTCATTTTTAAAGGAATCAAGACGTAACAAAAAAGGTTATACGTGATTCTACTTTGTCTATCAAATGGCTATCTCGGTTTTTTGAAAATTTTGGATTTTGGCCAAAATTTTTCCAAAAAACTGACTTTTTTGGGAAAATATTTATAAAATCCAGAATTTTGAGTTTATCGAAAAAACCGGAATATATGTCAAAGAAGTGGTCTATGTGCACCTACATATCAATTTTTAGAAGAATCGGTTCAAAAATGTGGGAGTTATTCAAAATTTTATGACGTCACGACACACAAAAATTTTGAAAAATGAATTTTTTGGAAGTTCTAGACCTCGTACGGAAATAAAAATAGCACCTTTCGATTCGCCGTGAAAAACTGCATCGGATAGACACCTTTTTAGGCCTTAACAACCAACTTCAAAATTTGACCTCACTTGACCTGACCTTGACCTGACCTCGACCTGAAATTCATCCAGAGGTGGTCCATATCACTTATTGAGTGTGCCTATTGAATTCCATGAGTAAAATGACCCATAAAACATGTGTCGCACATGCCCTTTTCTATATTTTGTTTTTGGTGACCTGACCTGACCTGACCTGACCTTGACCTTGACCTTTGAATGACATTGTGTGCAACGAATATTGTCTTGGTAGTCTAAGAACACGTTTTGGGCAATCAGTCTCAGTCCATTCTTCGGCAACTACGGTGCAAGGCCAATACTGTAGAAACTTGCATTTTGTACCTTTGACCTGACCTTGACCTGACCTCTGACCTACTTAAGCAAAAAAAATTTGGGCTCTTAAGATCCGCCTTGTTGAGAGCTTTCGATTGCCGTTTTCCCCGTCTTTCTACGACCATCGCACAGTGGGGATTTTTCCGATCTAGCGCCTATTAATTCAAAAAATATTTTTTGGATTTTTGTTTATTTTTTGTGTCAGTAGGGCTAAGAAATGTCTGAATTTTTCATATATGGCATTGTTTTATCTGTATGTCCACAGCAAAACTAGGAAAAATGCGCCCAAAGTTCACACTCATGCGTGATTACTCAATGGGCTCAGCAAGGCCCGAAAGTATAGCTCAATTTCATTGTCCTGTCCTGTTGGTTTTAATCTTGCGAGGTCTTAAAGTTGCATATCGTCTGAAAGGCACCTTTATTAGGAATGGAATGGCAAACAGAAAGTATGCCACAACCTTACTAAGGTCACAAAAATGCCCTTTACAAAAAACCCTTACAGACACCATATTGAAGGAATTGTATTCTAAATAAATGTAGGAAATCAACAATGTTCTCCACACTTTTCCACTCCGAAATATATCCTATCGAATTCGCCACTTTCTTCTGCACAAGACAACGCCTAGTTTGGCTGCCGAAACTTGCCTGAACACGGAATATTCACATTAGAGTATCTTAACACCCCACTCGAGGAGCGCTAGGGCAAACAGCACGATATAGGTATGTTCCGGACATAGGCGAATAATTTTACTTCGTGATTTATATGATGCATATTTTCTGAGACACATTCATTAGGAATAGGATGACAAGCGTAAATTATACATACCCTAACCTTATTAACCATCGCACTTGTGGGGAGGGGGAGGGGGAAGGGGTCGGATAAAACCCCATGGTTTTCCGCAAATTACTCGCGCAAAAAGCGGCCGATCGCGCCGAAACTTTCGGTACCCTCGAGATCATCAATTTTACATCTAACCTAAAAATTTCATGACTCTGACCCAACTGACCTTTGACCTGTGGCATATTTCTCGAGACCATGTTTGGCCGGAATCGCGATTCGGCGTATGCCAGCTCACATTATCCGCGGTTTCCAGTCTTTTTGTGGTTTTAAACGTTCAAATATGTGAAATGATGTTGGTGCCATGCATAATGGTGGGAGTCAAGGTCACGTGAAGGTCAAGTCAAGGTCATTGACCTTTTGATGACCTTGGTTCACTTTTTCGAGTTTTACTTGTTTCTAGGGTAGTTTTTGGTGCTGATTTCGATTTTAGCAGCCATTGGAATATTTACGAAGTAGTTCTAGTGCCTTCGTTCCATGTTACGAAGCTATCAGTAGTAGGTGACACTTCTATGGATGGCCGGCAGGACGCCTACTAATTGATCTAACGTGACCTGACCTGACCTGGCCTAAATGCATAAAGACATCGTCTGTGATCAAAACTAACATGAAATTCGTGATCAGCACCCCAAAATACCCCGTAACACCCTAACTTTGCGAAGTTTCAAGAGGTCTCGATTTCCCAACTTTAGTTGGGTCATTAAACTGACTTGGAAAGTCAGCTTATGACCTTGGACTTTGAAATTGGATATATTCGGCCTAATTTCGTCATAGGCAGCACGCTTGACTTTTCCGCGAAGCTCTAGCTTGATCAGGGGCCAAACGGCTGAGCGGGGGGTACAATTGAACCCCCTATACTATGTTGATTATGCACATTTACAGGTAAAATTCTCACCAGGACACACCAGCCAACATCTGTGCACAATCTGGCTACAATTCTACCTATGGTTTGCCCTCTACGAATAAATAGGTGCTAGATCGGAAAAATCCCCACTGTGCATCGGTTCGGAAGTTAGACAGGGGGGGCAGAATCTGCCCCCCCCCCAGCAGGGCGCGTATGGCTGAATAGCCCAGCGGGGCGCGGGTTAACAAAAATAGATAAAAGTGGGGCGAATAAAAAGATAAACTAAAAAATAGACGAGAGCCAAGGCACTTCCTGGAACATTCCTCTTTGTCCAGCGGAAGAGATGAGATCAAGTAAACATTTGACCATATGGCAGCACACCTGCGTTTGTCAGATGAAACAGAAAGCGCCGAGGGAAAGTATTCTGCTCGAGCTCGTTTATCAGAGCCTCGGCCAGCAGTGTCACTGTGTGGGGAAAACTGTCGGTATGTCTGGCAGCGATTCACCGGCGGGAAAACGAGCACTCGGGATGGCTCACCAGATGGTGAGTTTCGGCGGATGGACAGCCAGGTGTAGAATGTGAGGAGATGAGGCGTGAGATAGCAGACAGCCGGGAAAATCGACAATGGAACAGCAGAGATAAAGGTGGCCAACGGGGAGAAACTGGGCGTGAGAGGAGATTGTGTACTTACATATTTATGCAAGGCACTGGATGACATAAAATGTATGAAATACATAATTTTCACAAAATATGGTACTGATGATGTGGAATACATCATAGGGGCATTCCATGTCAACCGGGACAGCCAAAATCGGCCACCTCTGCGATTTTGTTCAAACTTGGTATACTTATTGGCTATTGGGTGAAACCTCTGAGAGTGAAAGGATTTTGTCATATGCCCTCGGGCTACGGAGATATAAGTCTCTAAACTTCTGCTTTTTTAGCAGAATTGGACGTGTATTGCAATCTTGAAAGATCTATAGCTTCAACATTTTTGAAGTTATTAATTTCAAACAAACTGAAACGTGTACATAAGGAGTTATGCTAGTAAAATATTTGACAACTTTTACATTTTTCGGTGGTTTTGAATTTATTTTATTTTGAATTTATTTCTGAAAATGTAATTTGTGAAAAATGGGTACCCTTCGATTTTGCTCAAATTTAGATATTGTCTTCCACTACACGTAAGGCACAGGTGCTGAGAAAATTAGAGTGGGCCAACGATAACTTTGGATGATATAGCAACAAGTAGTGCAACGTAGCACGGGCGGTGGAAGGGGCCGATTTCGCTAACCCCACCAGTTTATCGCCAATAACTCACGACATAATTATTGTATTAATGTTAAACTTTCAGTATCTGTCCAGAATCGAATTGCAAATCCTCCCGTGCAAGAAATAGGTAAATCGGTCCACAACTTTTCTAGTAATAGCGGTGTAAAGTCAAACATTCCTGTCGGAGCGGCTCGGCGGCCGGCGCCGGCCGTTGCCGCCTGAATGGTAGACTGTGCCGGCGCGGGACGGTTCCATCTTTGCACCGCGCTTCTTACCGCTGATTATGATCGATTCGTGTCAAATTTTGTGTGAAGGCTTAAAAATGTACAGGCAATCTAATGTTCAAATAAATACGAAAATCAACTGGTAAAATTAAATTATTAGGGTGCAAACAGAATATGTGACTATGACGTTTCCCGCGTCGGCCGATCCCCGCCTCTGCCGGCGACATCTTACTCTTAGCAAGCCACTAACTGCCAAATTTATGGTAAGATTAACTAGAGATTCTCATAACACTACAAATGTCGTATAAAGGAAGAAATAGGAAAATCGGCCAGTATCTCTTAGAGCTATGGGCGTATAAACGCAAAATAGTCACTATAGCAAATTTGATCACGTTTAACCTCATTTGATCTTGAATATATTGATCTAGGACCATGAAATTGGCACACGATAAAGTTCCCCGCCTACAATTCAAATTCCTTTTTTTAAATACCTTTTTTGGCTAAACCGGGCTTTTCTCCCCTAGCGCTGGCCGCTGGGAGAGTCAGGCGTATTTTCTTTTTGCAACCAAAGAGAGGCGCTGCCCGGAGAATGCCCAATTTCATCATTAAAAACTGGCTTACGATGACCAGCTATCTTCGTGGCTTAGTAGTAAGTGTGCCGAGTGTACCCACCTCGAAATCTAAAGGTCGCCGGCTCGCAGCGGGTCAGCCTGAAGTGTTAAACACGGATTGTAGCA